AACTAGCCTGTGTTCATCTTCCCTCCTTAAATATTCTCAACTTCGTTCATACGCGTTTAGTACAGCAGAATCAATTCTCCCAGTCTTTAATACATTATTAAAATCAGTAGTGATAACGTTAATTATTCTTGCTATAACAAGAATCAAATTGACAATGAGTATAAATTCTCATTTATTCAGTGATAACTTATCAATAAACTACGGATTCTATACATTTACGGAAAATGTTGATGTGCAGAAAATATAAAGACTGCGCTTGATGTGTAAAGATTAACATTAAGTGTAGGAGTAAGTAAACATTATTGCTCCTGAAGAATACAAGAAATCTTAATTTACATTTCATTATTTAGATCATAAAAGTTTCATTTCGCACAAAAAGCCTCAGTCTACTTATCAACATTGATGACCTACAAGAAGTAGTTGCAATTCTATCTGTAAGAACAGTAATAGTGACCAAGGGATCTATTCCACGGAGACAATGTATCAGTATTAAACTCACTTCCTGTGACTCGTGAATAATTTATTACGATTGAAACCGCGAATTTAGTGCATTTAAAGTGGCGACGTTTTATCAAGCAACTGCAAATTATTAACAATTTAATAGATTCCTCAACTGAATTAAAAGAGGATCAAAGATGAAATTGGTGTCCATACTATTTGTTTGCGCGGTGTTCGCGACGAGTGACGGATACCGTATCCTAGGCGTGTTTCCCTTCAGTGGGAAAAGTCATTTTATGATGTTCGAGCATCTGATGAAGGCCCTTGCGAGGAAGGGCCACCAGGTCGACGTGATCAGCACGTTCCCGTTAAAAAAACCGTATCCGAATTACAACGACCTGATTGTGTTACCCACTACGAGGGATTTCATGAATAATATGACTTACGACGAGATGCACAACATGATCAGGGCGTCGACGAGCTGGGCTGTAGCTACCATAGCAGGAAACGATTTTTGCGAAAACTTGAAATATCCGGAGTTTCAAGAATTTATACGCAACCCGCCGAAAGACCCACCTTATGACGTCGTCATTATGGAGGTACGCT